AATTACGTGCTCTTTTTTTTTTTTTTTAAGGTTAATGAAACTTAAGATATTTGTCTTTCTGTACAATTCCACAGCTCACACACACACACACACACACACACACACACACACACACACACACACACACACACACACACACACACACACACACACACACACACACACACACACACACACACACACACACACACACACACACACACACACACACACACACACACACACACACACACACACACATATATACACACACACACTCTCTCCCTTTAACAACAGGGCGTAGCCCGGCTCTGGTAATCACCTGTGATCGTGTTCAGGATCCCTGCTATAAATGGTCTTGACATCAACATAATTATAATTTTTCATGTCAGCAGCTAACTGAAGGGAGGGACTCCACCCTCCTGTCTTTCTCTCTGTCTGTTCTCCGCTCTCTCGTCCTCTGTTGCAGTCTTTTCATTCAGGGCTTTTGTGTTCCAAAGCTCCACAGACCTGTTTGCAATCTCTCCTTTCACCTGTTGGAACACGCAGGCCAGAGACAATAAAAAATCTGGAACCTCCCTGGGCGATAATAGTGTAAAAGTAAATGTTGAGACAATTATTAACTCTGTGTTTTACCCATTTAAGTTAAAAACCATCCATAACCTTCTCTTAATAATATCTCTAGAGTCTAAGCCCTGTCTAAGCCGGAGGAGGGGTTCTAAGCTGTCATATGGAATTGTTTTAAGGTGGTCATACCAAGGAAAATTTAGATATTACATTTTTAATTTTGAGACCCCCTTAAGGTATAAAATAATATATACACTACCAAAAGTTTGGACACAGCTACTCATTCAAGTTTTATTATTTTTTACCTTTACATTATATTTACGTCATTTAGCAGACGCTCTTATCCAGAGCGATTTACAAATTGGTGCATTCACCTTATAGTCAGTGGGATAACCACTTTACAATGTTTTTTCTTTTTTCTTTCTTTGGGGTGGGGTAAGGGGGGGTAGAAGGATTACTTTATCCTATCCCAGGTATTCCTTAAAGAGGTGGGGTTGTAGAATAATAGTGAAGACATCAAAAGTATGAAATAACACATATGGAATCATGTAGTAAACAGAAAAGTGTTAAACAAATCAAATAGCCAACCTTTGTCTTGATGACAGCTTTTCACACTCTTGGCATTCTATCAACCAGCTTCACCTGGAATGCTTTTCCAACAGTCTTGAAGGAGTTCCCACATATGCTGAGAACTTGTTGGCTGCTTTTCATTCACTCTGGGGTCCGACTCATCCCAAACCATCTCAATTGGGTTGAGGTCGGGGGATTGTGGAGGCCAGGTCATCTGATGCAGCACTCCATCACTGTCCTTCTTGGTAAAATATCCCTTACACAGCCTGGAGGTGTGTTGGGTCATTGTCCTGTTGAAAAACAAATGATAGTCCCACTAAGCCCAAACCAGATGGGATGGCATAGCACTGTAGAATGATGTGCCAGCCATGCTGGTTAAGTGTGCATTGAATTCTAAATAAATCATAGACAGTGTCACCAGCAAAGCACCCCTTCACCATAACACCTCCTCCTCCATGCTTTATGGTGGGAAATACACATGCGGAGATCATCCGTTCACCCACACCGCGTCTCACAAAGCCACGGCGGTTGGAACCAGAAATCTCAAATTTGGACTCCAGACCAAAGGACACATTTCCACCGGTCTAATGTCCATTGCTTGTTTTTCTTTGCCCAAGCAGGTCTCTTCTTATTATTGGTGTCAAAGTTCTTGAAATGTTCCGTATTGACTGACCTTCCTGTCTTAAAGTAATGATGGACTGTTGTTTCTCTTTGCTTATTTGAGCTGTTCTTGCCATAATATGGACTTGGTCTTTTACCAAATAGGGCTATCTTCTGTATCTACCTTGTCACAACACAACTGATTGGCTCAATCACGTTAAGAAGGAAAGAAATTCCACAAATTAACTTTTAAGAAGGCACACCTGTTAATTGAAATGCATTCCAGGTGACTACCTCATGAAGCTGGTTGAGATAATGCCAAGAGTGTGCAAAGCTGTCATCAAGGCAAAGGGTGGCTATTTGAAGAATCTCAAATATAAAATATATTTTGATTTGTTTAACACTTTTTTGGTTACTACATGATTCCATTTGTGTTATTTTATTTCACAGTGTTGATGTCTTCACTATTATTCTACAATGTAGAAAATAGTAAAAATAAAGAAAAACCCTGGAATGAGTAGGTGTGTCCAACCTTTTGACTGGTACAGTATATCAAACAAATATTGGATGAAACATTGAATTTGGCATTACTGATATTAACCAATAGAAACACACTGAATAACAGATTCACTACATGGAACAACAGATAGTCCCAAAATAAACCTAAAGGAAGTTTGTTCTGAAGTGTATGTCCTAATGTATCTGAGAGATATAAGAAATATCAGGAAACTATATATATATTTATCAGGTTTGGATGCTGCCAATAATTGCATGTGAATGTTACTGATAGTCACTCCGCCTATCTCATCGCAGATAGCTCTAAGATAACGAACAGAAAGTCATACCTAGCATAAAAAATTAAAGAAAGGCCCACCTCAAAATATCAACAAAAATACATACTGTATCTAGTTGTAATCTCTTTATTCATTTTCAGGATTTCACACAAACAAAAAACTAATAAAATACACAAAAAAGTTGTTATTTCAAATTTGTACAGAACTGATTCCACTGCATACCGTACACACAATAAGTGTCAAAATTAATAACCAGCCATTAAAAAAACCAACCTAAAATCCCCTTTTGTTCATAGCAAAAAGCATCAATATTAGAGAAAAAAAACGTATTTACAACATAAGTCTTCTCTTCAAAACTACAGTATATACAGTGATTCATCATACCTCCCTCTCATTGAAGGAAATGAACACAGAGAACTTGTTCCTAGAGTGAAGGAAGTGCTTTAGTCATTCAGTGAGTTAAAACAAAACAGTTTCTCTGTCAGAAAGACCAAAATGTATCATTTAGTGGCATCATAAGTGTTGAACACTCCTAGATGGTTTCACAGACCCAGATTAAGCCTACTCCGAGTCCTCAGTTAAAAAACCTTGCTTTATGAAGAACCTCCATTGAAAGTGCTTTTTAGTCTAGGACTAGGCTTAAGGTTGCTACAAGGTTCACTCTGTCGTTCGACATGCATGCATGTGCAAGGACTGAGTCTGTTTTTTGGGGGCAGCGCGCACTTTTGTCCACATCGTCGTTGCGTTCCACCCAGAGAGGAAGTCCGCCTTGTGTAGTGTACATCCATTAGGGGGGCAGGAATTTGTCCCTCCGTGTTCAACATAGGTACAGAAACTCAGTCCTAGCGGGAATGCTATAGATAGGTAGCCTACAGTACTGGCTAGAACAATGGATTTTATGGTATAAACTGGAAGAATGCTTAATGGTCTAAACATTGATAAGATCATAACAGAGGAGAGACAGATTCCATTCATAAAGACAGAATAACAGACACAGAGTATAAAACCAAGTGGGGGATTTGCCCAAACTGATATGATCTAAACCATTTACTACAGTTATTACATAGGTATAAGGGCAATTTAGGGTGAACAGTTACCATCCCTTACAACTATCAAAGGCCAAAGGTCCGCCAATCATATCTGGCAGGTAAAAACAACTGACAGCATAAAGGGAAAGTTCCCTGGACACCGATGGAGATTCTCCATTTAGTTTGCTTTTTTGTCCAGAATTAGGCTTAATCTGTATCCGGGAAACCACGCCTAAATGTACGTCCACTGCTTTGACCGATATGTGTAAATGTACTGTATGTACCATCATGTTTAAAAAACATTTTAAAAATTGTCCATCCAACATTATTATTATTATTATTATTATTATTGTGACTAATAGTGTAATAAAAGTGACATTTCCATGGAAGGGTTGGGCATTATCTCATATCCTGCTGTCAATATATTTGAATATGATAACCTGTATGAAACATGTTCTCTAATCGTTTGGCACACACACTAGTTAAACTCTCATCATGCTACAATACATAAAAAAAAAACTGATTTGTAAATATCAAAATCTGCATGGGGACGATTCTAATTTCGAAATAATGTACTTTTTGAAATTATTTTTTATGTGGTTATCTAATGTCTTTTGAGCTGTAGTAAGTTCAACTCAATAATTATTATACATAAATAGTGAGGTTGCAGGACAAGACTAATTAACATTAAAACATAATAATCAAAATAAGAAGTTAAAATACATGTATGAACTGTTGAACAAACTATATAAGATGAAACTGTAAATAGATAATGTAATGTTGTTGCTAGCCCCTATCAAAGAGGTTTGTCTCCGTGGTTACAGAAATAATAATAAACATGGCTAAATGCTCCAGGCTCTCAGGCACCCGAATAGAAACAAGTTATTATGAACATAAGACAAGTCTGTTGATTTGTTAGGAAGATATATGATACCATATAAGGAAGTTCTTGTGACTTAAAAGTATTATCCAACATTGTAATGATTGGTATGAAATCTCAACTGCAGATGTGTAAAAAAATGATAGTCAAGTATAAATGTCAATAAATTCTTTGCTTTTTCAAAAACACACACAACAACACACTATACACAACTATATATACAGACAGACAGGCATACAATGTGCATCCATTATTACGTGGGGCAATTAGAGGCAGGCATCCTGGTCCCCTATTTCTTTGAAAGTCCATACCTCCCGATAGTAGTGACGTGAGGAGCAGACATTTTGATCATTGTATCATTGTAGATGGTGTAAAATATTTAATGATAAGGAGTTTTGAAAAGGAGGATAAGTCCGTCAGTCAGGCAGTCCATCCGCGGCCCTCATGCAGTGCAATGCATTCTGGGGGCTTCAGGATGGTGTCCCTCAGTTCTGGTGATGCTTCAGGTGGCCGTAGCATGTGTGTGTGTGTGTGTGTGTGTGTGTGTGTGTGTGTGTGTGTGTGTGTGTGTGTGTGTGTTTAGTTCTGGTGGCGCTTCATGTGTAGGGCCAGGTGATCTGAACGGGAGAAACAACGACTGCAGGCCACACACTTGAAGGGCTTGGCTCCCGTGTGTTTACGGTAATGTCGCGTCAGCTCGTCAGAGCGGGCGAAACGCCAGTCGCAGCCCTCCCAGCTGCAACGGTATGGTTTCTCTCCTGAAACACAAAGAGAGAGAGTGTGAGAGAGAGTGAGAGTGAGAGAGAGAGAGAGAGAGAGAGAGAGAGAGAAGAGGGAAGAGAGGACTAAATACACTGTCTGTCCGATGAGTATGGGTATGTCAAAACCTGGTGAAGCCTGTGTGGCTGTTAAGACAGGGATGTGTGACACTCTGTAATGTGACAGGGAGTGAGAGTGCAGAATATACCGTACAGTTGTTTTGAGAAAGAGATGAGAGTTGTAGACTATTCTTCATATCACTATTTTCATTTATTTCACAACCGTGTTGGCAGTGATGTCTTCAACAGGGTGTGGTAAACATACTGTCAAACACACTGTACACACACACACACACACACATCAGTGGGCATGTTAAAGCAGGTACATCCCCTACCAACATCTGGCTATTCACTCAGAGAGGATTATATGGGTTCAGCATAAACTCATGTTGACTGGATACTAAATGTAAGCTTTGATAAGATTTTGATGTTGACACACAATAAAATGTTTCCCCAGGGGGACAGAAAGAGAAAGAGCCTGAAAGGACACACAACTGTATAGCCCTACAGTTATGAATTCCTTTCTAAATAAGACTCCAAAGCAGCATGGATGGATAGATGGATAGAGCACAATCAACTTAATAAAAACACATTTTCTATTGACTATTTTAAGTGCCTTTTAAGTGCCAAATAAAGTAACGATTTCATCTTAAATCAGCCATAAAACCCCTTGTGTCAGGGGGAATGGAAGCTTGTTTTGTACAACAGGGAGGGGCAATTGAATGCAAGCTTCACCCCAAAGAATTAAGGTAAAAATTAAATTAAAATATTTCTAGCCTGTCTATCTATGGGTAACAGGGTTGATGCGTTATGCTCGACCCGTTCAGTTTTTCACCACAAAACACCAGAAAATGGCCAAAAAGAGTAGAACCAGCTCACCTGCTTTTACACTATGATTTGACTATTAGATGTTCAGTGTTTATTTTGAAAGAAATATTTTAAAAGGAATAGTTTCACCATATTAAAACGAGAGTTCAGTTTACGTAACAGGGTTGACCTTAAAATGAGGGACAGACATTTTATTGGATTACATTAAACACATGAAATAAATAATATTTTGGCTACCATCGCTATGCCCTCGTAGGATGACAATTCCCCCATCCACAGGGCACGAGTGTTCACTGAATGGTTTGATGAGCATGAAAACAATGTAAACCATATACCATGGTCGTCTCAGTCACCACATCTCAACCCAATTGAACACTTATGGGAGATTCTGGAGCGGCGCTTGAGACAGCGTTTTCCACCACCATCAACAAAACACCAAATTATGGAATATCTAATGGAAGAATGATGTCGCATCCCTCCAATAGAGTTCCAGACACTTGTAGAATCTATGTCAAGGTGCATTGAAGCTGTTCTGGCTCGTGGTAGCCCAATGCCCTATTAGGACACTTGGTTGGTGTTTCCTTTATTTTGGCAGTTATCTGTATATCAATGCAACACCATGAAGGACTACAACAGTGGTTGGCTCACAAATAAGTGAAACTGCAATTCACGTGAGGTGAAAACATGCTATTCTCCTCACATGAGAAAAAGTGGTGTTAACATAATTTAAGCTCAACTTGTGAAAACAGCCATTTCAACTACACATTTCACATGTTTTTGTTGTAAGGGAGGACCCCATTAGTACTGATTAGATAGAGAGTATTACTCATTAACAACAGCTAATTGACAATGACTACTGAAGCAGGGGCCCAGAGGGTCATGGGGGCATTGGGTGAGAGGGGCCAGGGGTGGAGGGTGAGGTATGTGTGTGTGTGTGTGTGTGTGTGTGTGTGTGTGTGTGTGTTTTGGGGAGTTCAAGCTGTTATTAGTGTCTTTCAGCAGTGCAGGCAGGTGTATTTGAGTTCAGTCTAGCTCTGCTCTCATCTCTGGGTCAAAAGCATCGCCTCTCCCTCCTTGCCATTATCATGGCATTGGTAAACAATATAATGAGACAGGCCTGCACATACAGGCCCACAGATCAAACATGTTGACTGCGTCCCAAATGGCACCGTATTCCCTATTTAGTGCATTACTTTTGAAAAGGCCCCATAGGGCTTTGGTCAAAAGTATTGCACTATATAGGGAATACGGTGCCATTTGAGATGCACACGTTATCTGATTTGATCCCTAATCAAGCTAACAGAGGGTCAGGTGCAATTGGTTGTTCTCCAAACCACAGGTTAGGGCTGTGATGCTGTGAATGTTGCTGAGGTCTAGATAAGAGAGCTGTTCAACTAACAGCATCACAATAATACACTTGAGCTATTTGGTCAGGTGGTAGTTGTGCAACGGTTTAGTTTTTATCAGCCTAACACACAAGCACGCACGTCACACGCACGCACGTAGAACACACACAAGCACACTCTTCTCTCCTGAAGGGCCATTGTCTGTTTTATGATGGTGCCTACATGATTTTACTGAAAGACAGCAAACAGTCCCAACTCTCTGTGAAGCCCATAAACCATCCACAGGACATCCTTTGTGAGCCTCTTAGCTTTATCAACTGTTTCTGTTTGTCAAGAGGGCAGGGGGCCTCATCAGCCTGATACAGTGCATTCAGAAAGTATTCAGGCCCCTTGACTTTTTCCACATTTTGTTACGTTACAGCCTTATTCTAAAATGGATTCAATTGTTTTTCCCCCTCATCAATCTACAAACAATACCCCATAATGACAAAGCAAAAACAGGTTTTATTAAAATAAAATAAATGGAAATATCACATTTACATAAGTATTCAGACCCTTTACTCAGTACTTTGTTGAAACCTTAGGCAGCTATTACAGCCTCGAGTCTTCTTGGGTATGACGCTACAAGCTTAGCACACCTGTATTTGGGGAGTTTCTCCCGTTCTTCTCTGCAGATCCTCTCAAGTTCTGAGGTTGGATGGGGAGCGTTGCTGCACAGCTATTTTCAGGTCTCTCCAGAGATGTTTGATCGGGTTCAAGTCTGGGCTCTGGCTGGGCCACTCAAGGACATTCAGAGACTTGTCCTGAAGCCACTCCTGCGTTGTCTTGGCTGTGTGCTTAGGGTCATTGTCCTGTTGGAAGGTGAACCTTCGCCACAGTCTTAGGTCCTGAGCGCTCTGGAGCAGGTTTTCATCAAGGATCTCTCTGTACTTTGCTCCGTTCATCTTTGCCTTGATCCTGACTAGTCTCCCAGTCCCTGCCGCTGAAAAACACCCCCACAGCATGATGCCACCACCATGCTTCACCATAGGGATGGTGCCAGGTTTCCTCCAGAGGTGACACTTGGCAGTCAGGCCAAAGAGTTCAATCTTGGTTTCATCAGATCAGAGAATCTTGTTTCTCAAGGTTTGATAGTCTTTAGGTGCCTTTTGGCAAACTCCAGGCGGGCTGTCATGTGCCTTTTACTGAGGAGTCGCTTCCATCTGGCCAATCTACCATAAAGGCCTGATTGGTGGAGTGCTGCAGAGATGGTTGTCCTTCTGGAAGGTTCTCCCATCTCCACAGAGGAACTCTAGAGCTCTGTCAGAGTGACCATTGGGTTCTTGGTCACCTCCCTGACCAAGGCCCTTCTCCACCGATTGCTCAGTTTGGCCGGGCGGCCAGCTCTAGGAAGAGTCTTGGTGATTCCAAACTTCTTCCATTTAAGAATGATGAAGGCCACTGTGTTCTTGTGGACCTTTAATGCAGCAGACATTTTTTGGTACCCTTCCCCAGATCTGTGCCTCGACACAGTCCTGTCTCGGAGCTCTGTGGACAATTCCTTCGACCTCATGGCTTGGTTTTTGCTCTGACATGCACTGTCAACTGTTGGACCTTATATAGATGGTGAATTTACCACAGGTGTACTCCAATCAAGTTGTAGAAACATCTCAAGGATGATCAATGGAAACAGGATGCACCTGAGCTCACTTTTGAGTCTCAGAGCAAAGGGTCTGAATACCTATGTAAATAAGGTATTTCCGTTTTTTAAATTTGCACACACACAAAAAAAAACGTTTTCGCTTTGTCATTATGGGGTATTGTGTGTAGATTGCTGAGGAAAATGTTTTATTTAATCATTTTAGAATAAGGCTGTAACGCAACAAAATGTGGAGAAAGTCAAGGGGTCTGAATACTTTCCAAAGGCAGTGTATGTATACAATGGTGTGTATAGACATTATGGGCTGTATATGAATAGAACAGGTGTGTACAGCAGTAGCTATATAGGATAGACCTACTTATGAAGTGGGTAAATGCAGCAGGAAATATCTCAGAGACAAAAGAGACATCTGTACATGGTGAACAGCCAGGTATGCCTCAGTCACACACACACACACAATAGGCCATATTTGAAAATAAAATATTAACAAAGAAGAGGCCATATGGTTAAGTATCTAGACTTCACCTGACATATGTTAGTAGTTCCCAAGACATGTGAGCGACCTGGGGCCCGTATGTATCAGGAGTCTCAGAGTAGGAGTGCTGATTTAGGGTAGACCTGCCATATGGCCCCAGGTCTATCATTGACTGGTTGGATGACAGAGTGAAATCAGATTGTAGGCTACTCAGAGCTTGGAAACGTTCTATCATGGCATCCAAGAGATATTTTCTCCAGATTCTACTGTAGCTTCATTCTGTTCTGTCGCTCATCCTCTGAATGAGTAATCCCTAATATTTTCAGCCAGAGGTGTCCATTTACAGAAGTGACTGCTTCTCTCTTTTCGTTATCCCAGCTCCCTCCCCCCTTTTCTTCCTCCTCCCTCCTCCTCCACTCTTTCCTCTGAATAGGGAGTGAAAAGCAGGAGGAACAGGTTTTGGCCCAGTCCACCACGACTGTGTGTTTCCTCCCTCCCTTCATTCATTCCTCTCTCTTTCTCTGGGCTGGGGGAAACCTGGTAGGGCTTGTATGGGCATGCATTAACACAATGAGAAAAAATCTGTTAGGAGAGTTTATAACACCCTCCCCACCATCGCTCTCTTTCCTTCTCTTTTTCCCATCTGTCTCTCTTCTTTCCTCTGTCCATAGTGCCTCCATGATGTGTATGTCTCTGTGTGTGTGTTTCTATTTGTGTAAGTGTATAGTGGAAGTTACTCTTTCTTACCTGTGTGTGTCCTTTGGTGTGCTTTCAAGTGAGAGCTCTTTGTGTAAACCTTGGTGCAGCCTACAAGGGAAAAGAGATGTTAGTATCACTGCACTGACAATGGAGCAGTATTCAACATTGACTTCTACGGTATTTAATTTGACCATGTCTCGGTAAGCAAACTAACAGAATCATGAAACTCATCTCCTGTATCTGTGACCAAACACGGTTTAGTCTTAAGCACATGAGCCTTTTGCAAAGTATCTCTTTCAATGACCAAAAGGGCACTTTGGGAGCAGTCATTCATTCATTCATCCAGTATCCCCCTTTCCTTTCCTTTCCTTTCCTTTCCATCCATCCAGTATCAGGGGGCTCACCTGGGAAGTCACAGAAGTGGATCCGTCTCTTCTCCAGCTCTGGGTTATTCCGTCGGTTGTACCTGGGTCCCGTCAGCACCCCCTGTCCGTGGGCCATAAGCATGGAGTGGTGGGACATCTGGGTGACCTTCAACCCCAGCCTTGTGGAGGCCTGGTAGGGGGGAGGAGGGGTGAGCAGCTCTGCCTGGTTCTCAGGACTACCCGGCTGGGAGTTGGGGGGTGAGGGAGGCAGGCTGTGGGGCTGGGACTGGGGCGATGCGGTGGTGTGGTGGTGGTAGAAATGCTCCGGCATCGCAAACGACGAGTCACCACCGCCGTGACCCACCGTCGTCAAGGAGACGCTGTTCAGGTTGAGCATGGTTCTACCGTTGCCAGCTCCGCCGGTCCCTGGTTGGCTGCTGTGGGAAAGGGTCATTGTGAGGTCAGATCCACTGACAGGAACAGGCATCTGGTAGACCTGTGGTTTCTGGGGGCCAATGTACAGCTCTGTGTGTGTGTCTGAAACTGGGTGGCCACCGGCGGCCATGTCGGATTTGATAAACATGGTGTTGACGGTCTGGGGCATGCTGAAGACAGACGTGAAGTCAGGCAAGGTCTGGATGGTCTGGATGGAGCAGGGCACTGGCACATCCACACCCGGCTCTGTCTTGATGTGTTGGAGTAGGTGATTTTGGTGGGACTGGTGGTGCTGCTGGTTAGGCTTGTTGGGCCGGTACAGACCAGTGCGGAGGTGGGTGGTGTTGGGGAGGATGAGGTTGATGTTGACGCTGTATGGAGCTGTGTTGGGCTTCTCCTCTGAGAAGTACTCGTCAACCAATGAGGCGCTCTCTCTACGGTTCTTCTTGTCTGTGGGGGCCATGGAGGGAGGAATGAGGGGGCTGCCTGGGGTCTGGGAGAGGTATTTCTCCATCTCCAACCGGATCTAGAGAGAGAGAGGGAAGAGAGAGTGAGCGGTGTTCCATAACAGAGCCAAAGTTGAACAGGTAGGCACTCGTGCATCTAGGAGGAGTCTCTTGTTGGGGTACGAATTCACTTTTTCATTCAATTTCTTTAAAACCCTCTCAGCTAAACCTGTAGTTGCTTTTGATTGATTCTGTCACTATGTGGGATTGTGTTGGTATAAAGGTGGAAGTGACATAGCACAGGTACATAACCTATGGAGGGGGTTTCTGTCTCTAATGGTTGTCAGTCTGTTTGGGGAATGTCAGTTAGAGAGAGACGCCAGGAGAACTGGTGGTACCAGGACTCTCTTTCTCCCTGCATCCAACCTCCCTTCCTCCCCCTTTCATTCCTCACATTCCACCCTACCAATGGAGCTCACCGCCATGGAAGAATCAGAGGAAGAGGGGGTTCTATGGAGGGAGGGTGAGATGTAGGGAAAGCCTTAAATGTGTGCTGCTACGAGGTAACTTCAAACGGGAAAACATTTAAAAGTAGACACAATGCATGGGGTTTATCCTTTCACGCAGAAAAGCCACCAGAAACAATTGCACTGTAACTACCAGAGAGGGATTGTTGAGGCCCAGCCCTGTCTGTGTGAACTATCACACCGTCCCTCCCTCCTATAGAGGTGCACATGGCTTACTTAGTCTTCTGCCTGCCCTACAGGATCTGTCTGTGCAGGGTGCAGTGCTAGCTGGGTAAACACACAGCCAAAACAAAGGTGAGTGCATGAGAAAGAAGGAGCAAACACAAAACACTACACCACCTCCACTGGCAGCTATAAATAGAACAGAGAGAAATAATTGGATTCTACCAGAGATGTCATGAGACAGCTAGATCATATCAGATATCAGAGGGAGAGGGAGGAAGAGAGAGAAGAGAGAGATGATAAATAAAATAGAAAAACTGAAAGTTCTCCACACAAAACCATCAGCCCATTGTAACTATAGATGATTAACTAGCTTTTCATTTAGAAACGATGTTGTACCTAAGGGCTTGTTCAAATGAATCCTAAGAAGCAAAAATAGGACTTATTAAGCTATTACTATTTTACTAGGAAAGTTCTAAATGAATACCAGCTAAGTAAAGAACTGTAGCCTAAATCAAATCTGCTGCAACTCAAACACACCACTGTTGGTTCTGTGGTTTACTGAGGCCAAACACTGGAGCACAAAGAGCCAATCCAAGGAAAAGCCCAGCCAATTGGTTGTGTACAAATGATTCAATGAGCTGTTGATATATTGAGGCTCTATCCAGCTGTACATAATGGCTAACTCAACAGCAGGTACAATGGAGGGGAGAGGACATTTCATCAGGCCTATTATACCTCCACGGCTATTTGAAGTGCCAGCTATGTCAACACTGGCTGTATTATATATATTTCCCAATCTCTTCCCTAGCAACCCCTGTGTTGACGTGTTTTTATACACAAACTCTTGAAGGGCTATCGCTTTATGGGCACTTCAACCTGTGTGTGAGTGTGTGTCTGTGTGTGAGGGTGTGTCTGTGTGTGAGTGTGTGTCTGTGTGTGTGCCTCCAGAATATAATGGGCCATTTACCACTAGTGAACCCCACCGTCTCTCTCAAGCACCTCTGCCCCACAGCCCCTTCTGCCATCAGTGCAATCTGACCAGGGAGTGAAACTGAAATTAAAACCAAGTATTTAACTGGAAAATGGCTTATTTTTATTTGTATTGTGAGCTCCTCCTGTATGAAGCTGCTGCTTTCAGGACAGGGCACAAACGGGTCTTGTGTTATTCGGGTGCTGGCAGGCAGGCTAACCCAGTGCCCTTGGCAGTGTCCCCCCTCTGGCCTGAGCACAGGAGGTTGGTGGCACGTTCATTGGGGAGAGCAGGCTTGTGGTAATAGCTGGAGCGAAATGGGTGTAATGGTATCAAATAGATGGTTTCCATGTGTTTGATACCATTTCATTTGCTCTGTTCCAGCCATTATTATGAGTCGTCCTCCCCTCAGCAGCCTCCACTTGGCCTGAGTGCCCTGGATCCTGTTCATTAGGCAACAAATGGAATAAAACATACTGAAAGAGGGAAGGACTACAATAAGAAACGCTCATTTTCATTTTCTGTTGCAAAATGTTTTTAAACGTTTTCTGCTGTGTGTCCTAATGAACACAACCCTGGTTCCTCTCCTTCTACACTTACCCATCTCCCCCTTATCCCCCTCTTTCCCCCTCCCCTGTCTATCCCCTTTGTATCAGAAGAAGAATGGAGTGCCACTGAACCCTGCCCCAAGACTGTGTCTGTTAATGATTGTAGACCATACAACTGCTACATGCCAAAGCCCAGATAACAGAGAAGAGAAGAGAAGAAAATAGCCAACTTCTTATCAGCTCTATTCTGGGTTATGGGGTAGAGTCAGAGGCTGCGTCCCAAAAGTCCCCCTATTCCCTACATAGTACACTACTTTTGTCCAAGGCCCATAGGGCTGGTCAAAAGTAGTGCAAGATGTAGGGAATATAGGGTGCCATTTGGGATTCCACCAGGGGGGTTTCCACACTTCTGGTCCATGACCATGACCATGACTGTGATTTTGAGTTCAGATATTTAGTTTAGATATTAAACTAAAGTCAAGATACCAGCCAAGTCAATCATGCACAATATTTGAGTACAATACTGTGCAATGAAAGATGACTAATGTCACATGTCATACCAAGTCACCAAGGTGAACTATGAGTAACTATAGCAACTATGCTGTCCACCAATACGATAATGCAGTACAAATTCCTTTCAGACCATAGTTAGCCATACAAATCTATCTGCAACTAACATCCAAATCAGCATCCAACAACACCACTCAAGTGTTCCTTGTGGCCCCCAAATTGGGCACCAACTCCTCCATGTTACCAGTAGCACTTTAGCATTTGAAGTCAAACTTTAAGGCCAATAGACCATCATCTTCCTCACTCCTCCTCCGCCTCCTCCTTACCTGCTCAAAGGTCAGGGGTCAGGGATATCCCACAGACCTTTCTCTCCTTATGACAAAACACATGGTCCTGTCTCCTCACTAATTATCCTTTTTGGCTCTCTGGAATGCTTGTAAATGGTGTGTGTGTGTGCGCATGTGTGTGTGTTTTCTGGGATCATCTCCATAAACGATGACTGATAGCCCCCCTTGTGTTGTCTGCTAACGCCATGGCGTACACACACACACATAGAGAGACAGACAGAAAGAGAGAGAGAGAGAGAGAGAGAGAGAGAGAGAGAGAGAGAGAGAGAGAGAGAGAGAGAGAGAGAGAGAGAGAGAGAGAGAGAGAGAGAGAGAGAGAGAGAGAGAGAGAGAGAGAGAGAGAGAGACTGAACCTTTGAGACCGAAAGGATGTTTTATGGCTACTGGCATGATGATAATACGGGTTGTTCTGGCATTTCTAGGACCGTCAATTTGAGGGCAATCAGTCATCTTGGTTTGTGAAAAACAATGTAGTGTCATATGAGTGTTGCTGACCACTACACAGCTGATTCATCGTCAAGCTATGATAATTTGAATCAGCTGTGAGGTGCTAGGGCAACAAACAAAAAATTATATGTGCCTGAAACCCTGACTTAGACAGCTGACTGGTGGTGACATACAGTCTGGTCAAAGAAAGTCAAAGCATGTATGAGTATGAATATGTGACTGGTAATGATGTGTAGTCTGGCCACAGAGTTCGACTGGTAGTGTAGCGTAGTCTGGCCATATACAGTCTGATTATTGACAGGGATGATACCACATACATAGAGAGGAGTGAGTCCTTATCCTGTCTACACTGTAAACCTTCATACAGCCACAAAGGATTCAATGGGTTTTAGAGAAGGATGCCACAGCAGGCTTGAAACACACATCATTAGAATCAATCAGTTAACCAAACTACATTTTACGCAAAGAGAATAGCAAGGAGAAAAATGTATCTTTGAATACTAAGCAAACACGAGAACACTGGGGAAACTAAAAGCTTTCAACAAGCATTCTAACAAGTGTTCAACGTGGTCACAGTAAAGTCAATGCAGTGCGGTAGGTACTGTAAGTCTATCATGTCTAGTATCAAGCATCTAGTCTACTTACTACAGCGAGCGTGATCTGTATCTCACCGTGATGATAAGGAAGTGGAGTGTACCACTGAATGGCTGTTCGTGGGGAAACACACCTAGCATCACCCCTGTTGGTGCAACTCACTGGTGCTTTGTTTACACAAAATACAACTCACCTCTCATCTCAATGAGACAGCACAAATCTCCTGCTCAAAATAAAATGGCCACTTCTTAAGATTCTGACTGATAGAATATATACAACACACACAAAAAAACATAAATGTATCTATGAATGAAACAGATTCATTTAAAAGGTAATATACCGTTCCCTCCAAACACTTTTGGTTTCCTTTCAGTAGCTAGTGTAGTTATATGGATGTGTGCCAGAGATGACTGTTGGAGAATGGGGCAGACCTGTAGACCCGATGCAAATGGGCTGTGTTGCATTAGCAGTCAAATGACTAGTCAAACTAAACCCCACTGACTGCAGGCCTTCAGCTATGGATTACCAGACTGCATGAAAGTATATGTGAATTTTTTTCTTCTAAATTCTGTCTCAAAAGTGACCTGTTTAAGTCTGACTCTGGCCTAAAACAACCTAGGGGAATGAAGAAAGATACGTCTAAATTCTGCCTCAAATGTTCCTTAATTCCTCTGTAATTACAATGCAGTTACAGGTAACTACACCAATATATCTACAAATCCCATGTAACTAAATGGCGTCAGTGCAACCATAGACAATGTAACACAATGAAACTACAGTGCTTCATTACATCAGATAAGGTCATTGGAATACCATTTCGACTCGAGCAAAATCTTCCCAAATGCATTCAACCACAGTGACTGGAGTTTCACAACAGTAGCCAACTACAGAGAAACATAGGATCATCCATCAGCCTTTCTACCCTGGCCTGCAGTTACTTTCCCTGGCTTGGTATTGTATCACCCACCTCCTGCCCCAAGCAGTATGGAGATAGATTAGGGATACGTTTTTTTTTAGTTTAGTTTATTTGATCATTTAAAACAAGGTACACATACAAAATGATTAAGAATCATTGAGGATAAACACAAAAAAGTCTACAACTTATTTCCATTGTGATCCTCTTTCATGATAGCAATTGGCAAGTTTGGTATATGTGGCAGGACAAACAAAATGGAGCAGCCTAGCAGCCCCATAGAGAAGGTCCCTGTACAGACAGGTCTAACTGCATACTGCTGTCACGACAGGCATGGCCATACTCTTAAAAATTAAGGCGCAAGTTGGAACCAAATAAGGTTCTTCAGAGCGATGCCATAGCTGAACCATTTTAGGGTCTCTGAAGAACCATGAATGGGATGGTTCTTTGAAGAACCATACAAAAATCCCAAACCATAAATAATTCAGCCCTCCAGGACCAGATTTTAATAGCCCTGCTGTAGGGTTTTACGCCTTATTTGCATATTTCCCAGGGTGCCTTTCGAGTGAATTTTTTAGTTACCAGTACCACCCATGACTGTGTTTGCTAGTGACAGAGACATGGTTGTTGCATTAATTCATGTTCAGTCCTGTGGCCTTCACCAAATGAAATCCTAAGTGAATATGTTGTCAATGAAATTCCGTAAGACAATACAATACATACTTCATAAAACCTTCTTTTGAGGGCCTAGTTTTACCCTAATACAGTGGCCTGAAACTCATAGTTTACAGGCCCCATCAGGCCTGCAAGTCACATTATGCTGGTTCGTAAAGCGATGTGTAATTCCTATTGGAATCCAGCCAGAGTAGGGATATCCAACATTTAGATTTTTTTTTAATGACTGCCAGGGTTAGGAAGACTAAGATATGAGACTACCTTAAACATCTAAACTGGAATAACTATTTCAGTAACGGGTAGAATGAGTCCAAGTAATAGTTTAGAAAAATGTATGTTATTTATATGTGAGTAGCATAAGATTAATTAATCAATAAATGTACATGCAAAAACATAGATAAAAATCAAACAATTCTAAAAATCATCCTGCAACAGAGCATGCTGGGAAATATGATAATGATGGGCGTGGTTTTGGTTCAACTCTGGTTATTAACACTAACATTTATTGATTAATTAATCTTATGCTACTCACATATAAATAACATACATTTTTCTAAACGATTACTTGGACTCATTCTACCCGTTACTTAAATAGTTGTTCCAGTTTAGTCTACACCTGTTGTTTACGAAGCATGTGACAAATAACATTTGATTTGATTTGATTTAGTTAACACTGACCAATTTGCTGTGTGCTATGAAAGGGACACATACATTTCAAGAACCTTTTAGAATTCTGAAGAATCATAGATGCCACTTCAACAACCCCACACTTAACTCAAAAGTTATTTATCGGGCAAGATTTCTCCAAGGAACATTAACAGCTGAGGAAAAAACATTTACAAATCTTCAGTGCAGGGAAGGCACCATCGTTAGACTGCTTTAAAGCATCAACTCCTATATGACACAAAGACATGTCTCTGAGGCAAAACGACCCTATATTTAGTTCATATGAACCCAGTGCCCTGTCCTATTGGGAATGTGTGCATATATTAGAGGAACTAGCCTAATGACAGTGTCCTTTCTTGTTGATACAGTGGTGCCACGTTTATTACTGATAATGAATAGTAACTTATTCAACTTCATAAGTTCCATTTCAAAAAGTAAAACTATGCTTCTTGAATGTTTCATTGCAATATTGTCTGAAAGGAAATGGGTCCTATTCATATTATATCTATCATTAGCCTAAATCCAACCATGAAGAAAAACAGTCAAATGACAATCATAACTAGGTTAAACACACCAGGGGCTATAGATAGATAAGATAACATAAGTCCACATCAATTAATTGCTGTGAATTCCAAAGTGATCTCCTTGACCAAAACAGAGCATCAAAGGTAACTTGACAACCTCAGATCCCGTTCAGCGGTTGAGATTCAGCCAGATGTTACAGGGGAAACATAAAACACGACACCAGAAGGGTACACCTCACACACACCCTCTTAAAATCAGCAGGAAAGACAGATTCTCACAATAAAGAACCCACTATATGATGAGTGAGAATCTAGTGAGAACATGGAGTATTTTGCAATGCATGTAATATTAGTAATATTAGTAATATTAGTAATATTAGTAATAATAATAATAATAATAATAATAATAATAATAATAATATGGACATATTTATAAGAAAAACGTGACCAAATTAAGGTTTTAATTAATCCGTTTTGTCTTGACCCATAAGAAAGTATATCGTCGATGTGTTAAATGATATTATACAGTTTACTTGCACCTTGTTCGATCCTGTTTTCCACAGAGCTATGTAAAATTCCTCGCTTTAACCCTATTCGGTTTTATTGCACACTTCGTTGTCGATAAAGTGGCAGCTAAATAAATACATCTATTCATAAAATTATCTTCAAACGAATGAAACGCACGAAAAATATGAATTTATAATGAAAGGACTGACAAATCTTTGATAGAAAAAAGACTAATCGATTTGTAGGCCTATTCAACAACATTATTAGTAGGCTATGGAATCATGCTTGCGTCGAGTAGCGCGTGGGTAACAATGCTATAAGCTTTTCCATAGGCTAACCTTTTTGGAATATGGAAAATCCTGTATATTGAATAGGCCTACATGTGCTCTTTCTCCCAAGAACAATGAAATACGTTATTCACTGTTATGCATGATACGAATAGGTTTATTGTGATTGGAGAAAAGCGGGGGACACCCAAATGGAACAATCAATTTCTACAGTTTTACGCGTTGAGGCTATTTCTTGAGTGGGAGTGTCCACTGTTCGACTGACTACAAAATATGAACCAGGAGAAGGGCGGAATACGGTGGAGCCCCTGGCCGCACCTGGGCTACCTCCACTGGGTTAAGATGTCATTCTCACCGCGGGTTTCACTTCCTCAAACACCGACGAGTCCTCTGCGCCGTCAGCTCCAGACATCCGCACAGGTTTCAGCTGCGTGAAAACCGCCCTCTCTTCTGTGTGCGGAGGATTCATGGCCAGTCCTATACTAGTTGCCATAGTTATCTCTCCGATAAAACGTATTCAAATAACGCTTCCTTTGTAAATATAATTTATGTAAAGTACATATAGATTTGACAACTGTTGCGTGATAAGCGCGTCGTTGTTGGGTCCAGGTGCGCGCGGTAATTCCAAATCCCTCACTGGCTCACAGGTCGTTTTACCTGCGCTGAAGTATGCCAGCGAGACCTGGAAGTCATGATTGACAAAAACATTAGCCAATTCAAGCGAGGGAGTGTCCTCTACTCCAATCACCTGTGCCGTAGGTGTTTTCACCTGGGTGATGTGGAAGGAAACGACATAATGGAGAATGAGAGGGAAAGGGGAATGATGTTGGAAGAACAAGCATGGTTTTTAGTTCATATAGCCCAGTTATAACTTATAGATATTTCACGCACACAAACGCATACACACACGCAGGCACACATGTTTCCCTAAGGGTTGATGTGTGTATTTATGTAGGAAGAGAAAAGCCAGTGAAACCTGAATCATAGTAAATAATGAACCAATGGCCGTCACAACATATTAATAGAAAACAGAAAATATGACCGTAAACATGACTAGAAAATGTATTTCTCTGCTTCAGGACTCAGATAAATGTAACATTGTTCCTGTGAGAACAGCCCGGTTTTAGAATTGGATAGTGTTTATATTGCGTCATAATAATGATAGATCGGCATTCTTGTGGTTTAGAATTAGAACGTGATGTTAAAGCTGGCAGGTTTCTGATATAAACATGACACATATGCATTTTAGTCATTTAGCAGACGCTCTTATCCAGAGCGACTTACAGTTAGTGAGTGCATACATGGGAATCGAACCCACAACCATGGCATTGCAAACGCCATGCGCTACCAACTGAGCTACACGGCTTGGATTAGACTTGTAATAGAACCAGGGATACATACACTACCGTTCAAAAGTTCGGGGTCACTTAGAAATGTCCTTGTTTTCCATGAAAACATACATGAAATTAGTTTGAATAGGAAATATAGCTAAATGAATAGGAAATGTAGTCATTGACGAAGTTAGAAATAATGATTTTAAAAAGAAATAATAATTGTGTCCTTCAAACTTTGCTTTCCTCCAAGAATCCTCCATTTGCAGCAATTACAGCTTTGCAGACCTTTGGCATTCTAGTTGTCAATTTGTTGAGGTAATCTGAAGAGATTCACCCCATGCTTCCTGAAGCACCTCCCACAAGTTGGATTGGCTTGATGGGCACTTCTTACGTACCATACGGTCAAGCTGCTCCCACAACAGCTCAATAGGGTTGAGAGATCTGGTGACTGTGCTGGTCACCCAATTATAGACAGAATACCAGCTGACTGCTTCTTCCCTAAATAGTTATTGCATAGTTTGGGGCTGTGCTTTGGGTCATTGTCCTGTTGTAGGAGGAAATTGGCTCCAATCAAGCGCCATCCACAGGGTATGGCATGGCGTTGCAAAATGGAGTGATAGCCTTCCTTCTTCAAGATCCCTTTTACCCTGTACAAATCTCCCACTTTACCACCACCAAAGCACCCCCAGACCATCACATTGCCTCCACCATGCTTGATAGATGGCATCAAGCACTCCTCCAGCATCTTTTCATTTGGTCTGCGTCTCACAAATGTTCTTCTTTGTGATCCGAACACCTCAAACTTCGATTCGTCTGCCCATAACACTTTTTTCCGATCTTCCTCTGTCCAGTCTCTGTGTTCTTTTGCCCATCTTAATCTTTTATTTTTATTGGCCAGTCTGAGATATGGCTTTTTCTTTGCAATTCTGCCTAGATGGTCAGCATCCCGGAGTCTCCAAGGAAATGTCTAAGTGACCCCAAACTTTTGAACGGTAGTGTATGGTAAGAAGCGAACCCAGGTAAGAAGTTAACACAGGTATGAGAGTAACTCGTGTAAGAGGCTAATAGTAACGGGAGTTAAGTTAACTTTGGTTGGCTGTCACTCGGTAGAGGCATCATCCTACTGTACATGTGTGTCCTCTATCTAATATCAAAAGAATGGGTAAATAAGGGTTCTGTCTGTCTGGGAAACCAATGTCTGTCCAGGTAAATGAATTATGCTAATACCAACTAGGGTACATACACAGCATACTGGCATGTGTTGTACACTGACTGCACACATCATAAAGTAATGTCTATGTATAGTAATGTAACATCACAGTGTGTATTGTGGTTTTATCAGGTGACAGCAGCTAAACTCAATAGTGAGCATCTTTCTACATATTAGAGGTAGACAAAGGTAAAACCAGGTCAACCACTTTAACTGTGTGTGTGTGTGTGTGCGTGTGTGTGCGTGCATATGTGGATAGTTAGAGAGGGTGAGCAGATATTGTAGTTTTTCATTCATCCTCAGACATATGAAAGGAGTGGAGTGGGAAGAAGAGAGGAAACCAGACACTCTGCATTCCTCTCTCTCTCTCTCTCTTTCTCTCTCTCTCTCTCTCTCTCTCTCTCTCTCTCTCTCTCTCTCTCTCTCTCTCTCTCTCTCTCTCTCTCTCTCTCTCTCTCTCTCGCTCTCTCTCTCTGTCGCTGTCTCTCAATTCAATTCAATTCACAGGGATTTCACTTGCCAAAGCAAGTGAAATAGATAATATACAAAAGTGAAATAAACAATCAAAAATAAACATTACACCCACAAAAGTTTCAAAGGAATAAAGACATTTCAAATGTCTTATTATGGCTACGTACAGTGTTATAACGATGTGCAAATAGTTAAAGTACAAAAGGGAAAATAAATAAACATAAATACTATATGGGTTATATTTACAATGGTGTTTGTTCTTCACTGGTTGCCCTTTTCTTGTGGCAACAGGTCACAAATCTTGCTGCTGTGATGGCACACTGTGGTCTTTCACCCAGTAGATATGGGAGTTTGTCAAAATTGAATTTGTTTTCTAAAGCTTTGTGGGTCTGTGTAATCTGAGGGAAATATGTGTCTCTGATATGATCATACAGTTGGCAGGAGGTTAAGAAGTGCAGCTCAGTTTCCACCTCATTTTGTGGGCAGTGTGCACATAGCCTGTTTTCTCTTGAGAGCCAGGTCTGCTTACAGCGGCCTCTCTCAATGCTCACTGAGTCTGTACATAGTCAAAGCTTTCCTTAATTTTGTGTCAGTCACAGTGGTCAAGTATTCTGCCACTGTGTACTCTCTGTTTAGGGCCAAATAGCATTCTAGTTTCCTCTGTTTTTTTGTTAATTATTTCCAATGTGTCAAGTAATTATCTTTTAGTTTTCTCATGACTTGGTTGGGTCTAATTGTGTTGCTGTTGCTGTCCTGGGGCTCTGTGGGGTATGTTTGTGTTTGTGAACAGAGCCCTAGGACCAGCTTGCTTATGGGACTCTTCTCTAGGTTAATATCTCTGTAGGTGATGGCTTTGTTATGGAAGGTTTGGGAATCGCTTCCTTTTAGGTGGTTGTAGAATTTAACGGCTCTTTTCTGGATTTTGATCATTAGTAGGTATCGGCCTAATTCTGCTCTGCATGCATTATTTGGTGTTTTACATTGTACACAGAGGATGTTTTTGCAGAATTCTGCATGCAGAGTCTCAATTTGGTGTTTGTCCCATTTTGTGAATTCTTGGATGGTGAGCGGACCCCAGACCTCACAACCATAAAGGGCAATGGATTCTATGACTGATTAAAGTATTTTTAGCCAGATCCTAATTGGGATGTTGAATTTTATGTTCCTTTTGATGGCGTAGAAGGCCCTTCTTGCCTTGTCTCTCAGATTGTTCACAGCTTTGTGGAAGTGACCTATGGTTGTCTCTCTACTCTACCTGAACTACAGTTATAACAAGTGAACCCACCCCCTCTGATGTAAGATTAGATACATCCATAGTCACGTTCAGGGGAAGGGGTTTGGAGACAAGGTCAGTCAGGTGCTGGTCTAAGGGCAGGGGAAGGGGGGTGGAGTGCAGTAGCCCTGGTGGTATTCTGATTCTGTCGATTGGCTCCTTTGTTAGCGGAACCCTAGTTGATGGAACCGTATCTGATGGCTATCTGCTCTCGCCAGACAGATAGTGAGCAGCCACCAGCTCTGGCCCCCTATCTGACCCATCAGACAATCACCATCAAAGCTAAGGACCCCCGACCTGGGGCGTCAACACATATGCCTGCCAGTATGATACTCAGGTCAATCAGAGCTCTCAGTCTACCAGTAGGGATAAAGCATAATTCAAAGAAGCACTACAACCAGTGGAGGCTCCTCAGAGGAGGAAGGGGAGGACCATCCTCAGTGAATTTCATAAATGTTTTAATTGTAAAACATTCAAAAAGTTATCCTTTTTAGATAAAACTATACTAAATATATTCACGTCACCAAATAACTGATTAAAACACACTATTTTGCAAAGAAGGTCTACAGTATCCTCAACAGCACTCTGTAGGGTAGCACCATAGTGTAGCCGGAGGACAGCTAGCTTCCGTCCTCATCTGCGTACATTGACTTCAATACAAAACCTAGGAGACTCATGGTTCTCACTCCCTTCCATAGACTTACACAGTAATTATGACAACTTCCGGAGGACGTCTTCCAGCCTATCAGAGCTCTAGCAGCATGAATGTTGTCCACCCAATCAAAGGATCAGAGAATTAATCTAGTATAGAAAGCATACACTACAGCTAGCTAGCACTGCAGTGTATAAAATGTGGTGAGTAGTTGACTCAAAGAGAGAGAAAGACAATAGTTGAACAGTTTTGAACAAATTAATTTCTTCCAAAATGAAGGAGAAGCAAGAGAGGAATAGAGAGAGAGATTGTCATTTTTTAAAACTTTCAGTTTCACTTAGCTAGCAACTGCAGCTAGCTCGTTTACAGTGGCGGCTCCTGAAAAAATTCTCAGGAGGGGCAATTTTTCTGATGATTTAGGTGACCTACACACATTTTAAAAAAGATATGTCCAGCAACAACATGAAGACAGGGGCAGCATATAAGTCAATACCAGAAGCATTTATTGACTGATCTGGGGAGATGGATTCCAGTTTCTGTGACAGATTATAAATAATCTCTGATGCCTTTGTTATATTAGCTTTTGGTTGAATGTACTGTCGTAGTAAATATATAATGTTATAGCTTGGTCTGACTAAAATCTTGTGCATGACCCATTTTGTGTTGGGCGTTTGTTTTCAATCAATGCTGT